TCTCCTGCAGCCGCTTAAACACTGCATCCAGGTCGCGGAGGTGCTGCTCCCGTGTCTTGCTAAAAATGAGGATATCGTCCAAGTAGACGATGACACACCGGTCTAGAAGATCCCAAAAAACCCTGTTCATGGTCAGTTGGAAAGTCGAAGGCGCGTTCGTGAGGCCGAAAGGCATCACTGTAATTTCGTAACTCCCGTAGCGTGTGCGAAACGCAGTCTTGTGACAATCGTCGGCGAAGACTCGAATTTGGTGGTAACCGCCATGTAAATCAATCTTCGAGAAATATCGAGCGCCGCGAAGTTGGTCAAGGAGGTCGTCGGTGCGTGGGATTGGGTAGCGAGACTTGATGGTGACCCGGTTCAGCGCGCGATAGTCGATACATATGCGAAGCCCGCCGTCCTTCTTCGGGGTGAACAGAATCGGTGCTGCGAAAGGAGATGTGCTGGCCCGAATGAACCCTTTCTCCAACAGTGCGTCAATTTGTCGTCGCAGCTCCTCGAGTTCCGGCTGGGTCAACCGCCACTGTGTCCGAACAGTCGGCTACGCGCCAGGTTCCAGCTGGATTTTGTGATCCTCAGGTCTCTCCGGTGGCGGTCCAGGTGGCAGGTCGTCGGGGAAGATGTCCGGGTACCTCCGAATCAGCTCCGCTAAATCTGGTGGTACAACTGCACACAGCTTCTCGATGTCCTTTCCTTCGGTGTCAACCGCCAACTCGCGTAAGCAAACAGCGAACAGTTGCGCGCCTCTGTTGAAGTGGCGAGCTATAGTGATAGCTTTGACGCATGGGGCTTGGATGTAGTCAGGCGTTCATGCAGGTAGTTTAATTAGCCCCTCGTGCTTGTTGATGCTGCACGATCCCGTTGTCCAGCCGATGACGGGGTTGTGCCGTCGCAGCCAATCACGTCCCAGCAGCACGTCGCAGCCGTCCAATGTTGTCGCGAAAAACTTCATGCTGAAGCCAAAATCGTCGCCGCATTCAATCTTGACCGTCCGTGTTTCTTCCGTTATCGCCAGAGGCGTCCCATCCACAAGGCGGGCGTCAATTTCGGGCAGACACGTGTCAAGTTGCAGCTTGCATTTTTTTGCGCTCGCCAAGTTGAAGAGGCTATGGCTGGCCCCTCCATCGACGAACATTTTCAAGTTATTTTTTAACACCTTGCCAGCGACCAGCACATGGTGATCCACATGTGTATCCCCGTTATTCGGCCGAGTGCGATAAATTGCATGAATCGGAACCACGACTCGGTGGGGATGGTGGGGTTCGGGCGACGGAGCACAGTCAGTAAAGGGCCCGCTAATTACTGACTCTTCCTATTTCCCTGCTCCTTCCTGTCGTTCCCTGTCAGCGGCGTTTTCTCGTGGCAGTCTCTCATGTAGTGACCCGTCTTCCCACACCGGTAACACGGTCCCTTAGGAGGGCGGTCGGGTGTATGGACGGCGTTGATCGTGGCCCGATGGGTCTGGCCACGAAAGCGGTTTCCCTCCCGGGAAGTTGCTCTCGCGTACTGCATCAGCGCATCTGTAGACTCCGCCAACTGTACTGCTGCAAGGAATGACGTCATGCGGCCCCTGCAAACCTCGTACTGTATCTCATATTTGAGGCCGCTGATATACTTATCTAACCGCTCAGCTTCCGACATGTCATCAACTTGGTCGGCGAGGCCCATAAATGACGCCGTGTAGTCTTGGACAGAAGCCATCTGCGACCATGCACGCAGCTTCATGCGAGCTTGCGCCGAGGCGGATACGTGCTCGAAGCGATCTCGTAAGGCTGCACCCCACTCCTTCCACGTGCGTATCGTGGTCACTCCGAAGATTGATTGTGCCACTTGATTAGTCACTGTTGAGGTCCCGTCTGCCGCATGCGTCACACCTGTCGGCGTCCATGTTTCCAAGGTTCGGCGCCACCACTCAAGCGCTGCACCTCGAAGAAGCGAAACTGCGTAATTAATACGCGTAGCGTTGTCATTACTTCCGGCTGTAGTAAAAAATACCTCGACCCCGAATAGCCACCCTTTTACCGTAACCGTCTTGTCCGTAGGATAAAACGGGGGCGGGTTAACGGGCTTGATCTTGATCGTCGTTACTGCAACTGGCGCTGCTGCCACTTGCTGCCTGTCCTCCTCTTCGAAGTCACGTGTGAGCGCATCCAGCGGATTGCTTATCGCCTGAATGTTGCCCTTGCCTTCGTCCACAGGCGACTCCTGACGCGCTTCACCTCGCGTCTGGCGTAGCTCGGCGTTTTCCTCTCGCAGTGTTGTCACTTCCGCCATTAATGCCTTCATGCTCTCCTGCATTTCTGCCACTTGCGCCATCATCCTGTTGACCGCCTCCTGATCCATGTGCCTAGCGCTACGTCTGGTGGGCAATCGGGTCTCCGTGGCCTTCAGGCAAGTGAAAACACGAACTATCGGAGTCGGGCAGGATAGAATTAACAATCCCTCCAGCCAACCCTCGTGTAGTCACTAAACCAGCCACACCCTATGCCACCAAACTACCCTCGGAAAAGCGGGGTGAACTAGGAAAGTAGCTCTGATACCAGGTGTTATGAGTTGTAAAATAGAGTGCGCAGGTAAACGAATAACGAGGCTGTGACTGAATCAACTGCGAATACAATGAGTGCACAGACTAATGTAGGGCTGGTCTAGCTAGGAGGAAACCTCGGACGAGCGAGGTTGAGTGCAGGTTTGGCGATGGGAATGCCGAAGGCGATGCGAGGAGCCTCGGCAGCGTTGAAATCGGCCGAACGTGCGAACTCCGAAAATCGGGTTGTACGCGAAGCAGTCAACCCCGATAAGGAATTCGGGAAAATTCCTTACAACGAAGCTTGCGAAAAACAAAAACAGCTTAAAGCCCCTTTCACGGGTCAAACGAGCATCATGTGACTGGGATGAATGGCCCTCGGGATTGACGTCACCACAGTCTCTGGTGGAAGCACCACCAGAGCCTCGATTTTTCGAATCTCGAGCCCTGAGCGTCCTCCATACGAGTCTCAAGTATATCCGGCCCCACACGACACGAGTCTTGATTAAACCGTGCTGAATAGCTCATCCGACAGAGTTCAGGCGGCCCAGTTTGCCAGGGACGACGGACGAGGTCGACGGGCCCAGCACCGCCGAGGCGGGAAACTGCCGCGCGTGCCTGCCCGCCAGGCTGGCCCAGGGCTGGGCCGAGCGCACGCCCGCCGCCCCTCAACCCCCCTGCGTAATTGAACAGCACCCCACGTTACCGGGTGGGGGCGGCGAAATCGCTCCACCTCGCGCGAGGGGAAGTAACCCTAGGGCGAAGGCAGCCCTCGATGTGGCCCAGCCCTCGATGTGGCCCTGCCCTCGACGACCTAGTAACCCTCTCGCGCTGCCCCTACGGGCAGGCAAGGGCCCGGCGAAATACTGATGCTCCCCTCGGGACCCTCGGCCAATTCGCGACCCGCTGGCGTGTGGACACGTGTCTGCCCAGGGACGACGCTGCATGCCAGGCCCTTGTGACGATGCATGCCACCAGACCCCACGCCTACCCACGCGAGCGGACGTGATGGGGCCGATGTGGCCCGGCGTCCGACGAGCATGCGATTGGACGAGGTTGCTGCTCATCGTGCCGAGCCACTTTGGCCTCCGGGCCGGTTTTGGCCACCGCCTTGGTCTGCGTCCGTCGTGCCATATCTTTGTGGACGGAGTGACCGACGCCTCATTTTGCTCTTCTCATTTCGCCTTTCACATTTCTCACCTCTGCGCCTTCCTCCGTCCTGCTGCTGCTAGATAGCCTGTAGTGCCGTGCCTTTGGTCGCCGGTAGTGTCGTGCCTTTGCAATCATGGAGTTGGATAGTGGCGCCGCTCACCCGACGCCGCGCGCCGCAACGCCGACGCCGTCCTCGGCGGACTTCCCCCTGTACTTCAACATGGGCCGTGGCCTCACCTTCTCTTTTGACGAGAAGGACTTTGCCGTGCTGCGCGCCACGAAAAAAGACTTCAACGAGCCTTGCTTCGCACTCGCGCTCAAGTGAGTCCCTCCTTCAGTTTAGGCGGAACCCTTGTGTCAGTAGAGCTACACCGTGAGATCCCCGATCGATCCTGGAGAGGGTTACAGGCATGTTCGCCTGGGGGGTTATGGGCGCACTGACCCGCTACTGAAACAAGCCCTTTTATCCCAATGGTCTAGTGGTTGGGATTCTGACATGGTATCAGAGCGGTCTCGGGTTCGATTCCCGGTGTATGCACATGTAGGCCGGTGCCGCTGTGCTTAGTCCTGGGCCTCCCAGTGTGGGGGGGTGTCAGTAGAGCTACACCGTGAGATCCCCGATCGATCCTGGAGAGGGTTACAGGCATGTTCGCCTGGGGGGTTATGGGCGCACTGACCCGCTACTGAAACAAGCCCTTTTATCCCAATGGTCTAGTGGTTGGGATTCTGACACCTTGTCCACTTTTGCTTTCCGTCGACTTAGTAGCTCTTTTTTAACCCGCCGCCCCACCGACCTAGACGATGTTATTCGTTAGAACGAGTTACTAATCCGGCGTGTGAGTTAGCGACGGTGTCCATGTCCATTTCCCGCCGACCTAGTAACTTCACTGTTCCGCCGACTTAGTACAGCATGATATAGCTCAGCCGACGAATTCCCCCGGCCATTTTCGCCGCATAGAACCGGCGGTCATTTTTTATCCCGACGACCTATAGGATGTTATTATTTGGAGCGTGTTACTAATTCGGCGTGCGAGTAAGCGACGGCGTCCGTGTCTCTTTTTCCCGCCGACCTAGTAACCTCATTGTTCCGCCGACTTAGTAACTATAGGCCGACTCAACGTTGCAGAATTAGTTCCTACCGGTCGATAGGATTTCGGTCAACGAAAGGTTTTCACGCCTAGGTTTGTCGTGAGCGCGTCCATGTCGGCGTTCAAGGCCGCTATCCTATATACTTTTGCCGGCAACGAGTTCGCAATCCTGAACCGATGCCACATGTCCCCACGAGTTCGTTGACTGCAGGTACATGTGGATTCGCGAAGCTCCGATGGACTTGAAGCCGTGGGTCATAGGGTGCAGCCGTCTTCGTGAGGCGATTAAGAAGAACGACCTCACCTGTTTTGAGTCGGTGTTCGACGCCGACATTGCCGTGCTACCTATAATCACGACGTGAGAAAGTGCGATGTTGCGTTGTCGTTGACGTCATGTTGGACTTCGATGTTTTATATCGGCGTCACATGGTTCATGTGCAGGATCGGGCCGCTTCCCGGGGTCCACTGTAGCGTCGTCGTGGTTCTTTGGCCCGGCGACTTGCTGAAGGCCGTCGACGTCGACAGCGAGACCTCGTTCCGCCACCTAGACCCGAAAACTGCAAACCGGCTGCATTCGTCTGAGGCGCTCGCCGTGCTGAGGTAGGCATGCTTAAATTGGGAAGGCTCTTTACCAGGTTACTGGTTTCTCGACGGCGTCCCCACTGACTCTTTCGTGCACTGCTGTTGCAGCTTTTTCCGGCGCTGTGTTTTGGCCGAGCTTGGAAGAAGTGACAAGACATGGAAGTGGGCGTCTCCCGGTGAGGAGGTCGTGGTGGCTCGACTCGCCGGTTGCGACGAACCCACGCGCGACGTGAGTTTCTGTCGACCTTATAGCCAACTTTAAGTGGTCGTCTAACTGTGCTTGCGTTGGTACACCCTCGACTCACCTAGCCTGCCCTTGCAACGGTTGTACGCAGAGATTGCCGGACATTGTGAAGAACGAGCAGGTCGGCACCGGATTGCATGCTGTGAGCGCGTTCGGATGGGTGGTTAGAGAGCGCGGAGCCCTACTCAAGTTACGTGCACCGGCGAGCGCTGAGAACCCGATGGTTCAGGGGTTGAGGGCACTCAAATCGGCGCTAGTGGAATACGTCAAGAGATGCGTTGCTGAGAGGCGGTCGGCGCCGTCCAATCACCCTACTGGGCCAAGTACCTCCCCCCTCAACGACGACAGAATCGAAACTAAGACGGCGTCTCAAGCTAGCGTGTATCGCCCGGCGTATTTCGGCGCGCACGACACTAGAACTAGCGGTCATGTTGGCGGCAGTGGCGAGGCCGACTTGGTAGGAGGAGAGGAGCGGAGGGCAGGGTCCGTTGAGGAGTCCTCTACTGACTCAGAGTCAGAGTCGGGATCCGAGGAGGAGGAGGATGAAGAGGAGGAGGATGAAGAGGAGGAGGAGGAGCGTGCAGGGAAGAAGGCTGTTGGTGCTGAGGCGGACTGCCGCCGAGGAGGGCGTGCGAGCCGGCGGGTCTTCCATTCACGGCGGTGGAAGGAAAGGTCCGGAGATTCCACGTCCTGGAGCAAGCGAGGTAGCACCACCGCCGTTCGATCGTGGTAACGTCGCCGTTGAATCGGTTGAAGTGCAGGCCGACGCGGCGATAGGCATTGATTGCGGGCCGCCATTCGATGTTGAGGCTCCGTCAATCGGCGATCAGACTCACCAGGCTCCTGTGGTCGGCGTGGGGGGGGACACGGGCGCCCTCGGCATGGAGGATGATCCTGTGGCGAGAGCATTGATGGAGGAGCTTCTTGCTTTTCAGGCGCCATCGCAGCAGCAGCCCGTCACCATCGACAACGCCGCTGTCCCAACAACTCGCGGGGGGGCGCAACCTGTCGCCGGTACAGCACCAACAGCCCCGGTCTCGGCCGATGTCAACGCACGTCACACGGCACCACCATTTGCTGATCCGCCGACATCTGGGCCCGTCGCAGCACCAAGCACGGGGCAAGACAACGCCGGTCAGACCCTCACGGACCCGGTCGCGGCCATGCTTCTGGCCGCGGTCAACTTGTTTCAAGCGACGGCACCTTCATCGCATCCGCCAACTACTGTCACCAGCGCTGCGCCGACCATGCAGCTCCCTGCCGCTGTTGCCACGCCGTCGGACCCAGTCTTGGACATGCTGATGGCCAAGGTCAACGCGCTTTCAGCAGGTGCATAATCCGCTCAACCGCAGACTCACGGCACGCGCACTGCGCCGACCACGGTGAACTTGGCGGAGCCCGTACACCAAGAAGCGGCAAACGAGACGGTTCCAACGGCGGTACCAACGCATCACCAGGTTGGCGCGGCGTCTGGACAAGGTGATTGGGGCGCGGTGGCAGGAGAGGATGGTGCGGGGGAGATCCCTCTCATCATCAAGGACGAGGATGTGGAATTGATACAAGCGGCGATAGAAGCAGACGAAGTTGCCGCACTTCAGTCTGTGGGAGGTACGTCGGGCATCAGTGGCGTGGAGGGCCGGCCTGCCGGTGTTACATCGTCCACCTAGGCCGGGCCGACCGTGCAGCCGGCCCGTTTGGCGTCCACCGGCGTCAGTGTAGCCGGCCAGGCTGTTCCGCCTATTCAGAGTCATCCTGTCGGCTTCATACAGGTGGATAGGGCCTTCCAAACCGGCCCGAGCGGCGTCACTGGTTCTGACCAGGCTGGTCTGGCGGGAGAGTCCACTCGGCCCACCGCCGTTACAGTGGCTACTCAGGCCGGCCAGGCCGGGCCTTCGGACAGGTCGGCGGGCGTCACTGTTGCGGACCTGGCGGGTCAGGCGGGGACGTCCACTGTTCTGGCCGGTGGACTAGTGGGTGAACACACCGACAAGGATGGACAGACCGATCGTGCGGCTGGAGTCGGCGAAAAAAAAAAGAAGAAACGGAAGGGTAAAGCCGCCGCGTCGCAGAAGGCCATCGTTCCGAAAGATCGCAGGGGGCATGGTATTAGGCTGGACAGGACGAGCGGTGGCGGGTGGCAGGGCGAGGTAAATCTGGCTGGAAAGAGTCGCTACACGGGGAGATCGGACGACAGGATGGAAGTGGCGTACCTCAACGGCGTTGCGACGACCATCTTCGACGGACACGCCAGCCAACTCCTGTTGGCCGAAATGACCGGCGTTAAAGCCGAAGAAATGACGCGATGGAAGGCGGAGTGGGAGGAGGCGAAGGTGATGCCGAAGGGTATGTGGACGGTGATGTGGTCCCGCGGCGCCACCATGTTTCGTGCACGGTAAGAATCGTGGGACTCGATGTGTTTTGAGCGGCGTGATATAGGTTTGACTGTGGGGTTTTACGCCGACTGACCACGTTCACGTTCCAACGTCGTGCGTGACAGGTTCCAGAAAGTCCTCGCCAACTTCAAACAGAAGATGTCATCAGGGCCCCCGCTGATGAAAGTGCTGAGGCCGGCGGTGTGGTTCGGCACTGGTTGGGAGCCGGCCAAGCGCAAGCAGCAGCTCAGCGACATCATCAACCGCGCTTGCTTGTGCGCGGCGTTTGGGCCAGTTGCGGCAAATGCCGTCCCCAAAACTGGTGCAGACGCCAAGCGCATAGGCCAAGCTGTCGCTACTTCATCTTGCGCCGTCTGGTGCTTCGCCGAGACCGTGGCCGAGGTCAACAATGCGGCGGGTGAAGCGAAGGCGGCGGCACTGCTGTGTGAAGCGAGCACCGATTTTGCTGACACTTGTCACGACGTCGTGGTTGCGGTGCTAGAAACGGCGGTTGCGAGACAACCCGTCCTGGGAGAGGTCTCGTGCAACGTCACCGACGCACTGCAGAAGGATGCTCTTCGGAAGGCGTGCAAGGGCTGTGACCCCACACCCGACGCCGAGATTATCGCGAGGGCGACTATCGAGACCCTCGCTTTCTGGGGGTCGTGCAACGTCGGCGGCCCCCTTCTCCGAGCACGCGGCATTCAAGTGCCGCTGGACAAGCAGATGGAGAAGGATATGGATAACAGGGGAAAGAAGGGACAGAAGGGGAAGCACGCCGCGTAGATGGGTTTTGTTGTTGTGTCTGACGTTGTGTTCTGGACCGACATCGCAATGTGTAGCAAGATTGTTGATTGATTGTGGGGTTTTGGTGGGCGCCGACTTTTATTGTGCACTTTTGCTGTGTTTCTAGCACGTAGGTTAATTTGCTGTTCATGAAACGCCCTCATGTTTTCGGTTCTTTGGCAAATTCTCAACTGTTGGGAACATTGAATCCACAGTAAGTCGGAAACAAAAGTCACAATCGAGCTAAAAGAAAGTAGCTAAGCGGCGACAAAACATCAGCCCGGCTTCCGACGCTTGGACGTCTTCGTCGGCAGCGGCGGCGGTCTAGCAGCGGCCTGCTCCGCGGCCGTTTGGGCCGCCACAGCTTTCTGCTCTTCCCACGTGGTCGGGAACATGTCCTCGCCCCACTTGTCCGTCATGTATCCCGCCGCCACCAGTCCCCAAGCAACCGTCAGCTTGGGATTTTCACCCTTAGAAAGCCCCTTGATGCCCAGGTTCCCCTCCGTGCGTATCGGAAGCGCGTCGGCGTCGATGATCTTCAGAGCATCGCAGAAGGTCACAATTCCCGACGCAGCGAGCTCGTCGAGTTTCTTGATGACGGCGGCGGTGTCGGCCTCTCCGTCTAACGAGCGGAAGCGGCGCACGGCCTCCATCGCCCTCCTCATTCGGCGCATCTCACCCCGTTTTGCGTTGGCCGACGACTTGCCCAGGAGGCTGTGCCGCCCGATGAAACCTGGCTCGTTGATCCTGTCGCAGAGACGTCGGCGGTCCGTGGTGGTGGGGCAGTTCCAGAAGCGCCAGGCCTCTGCCACAGTCTCGGCCTTTCTCCATGGGTTGACAACCAGGGCCTCGTAGTGAGCGTCGGCGTCCAACTGAGCTTGCTTAGCGGCCGCAGCTGCCTCCTCTTCCAGGGTCGTCGGCCTAGAAGGCGCCTGTGGCGCTGGCGCCCTACGTGCCTCGGAGATCTTGAGCTCCTCCATGAGCCGGGAGATCTCGGCGTCCCTCGCTGCGATAGCATCACGCGCCTCCTCGAGCTCCTTCTCCACCTTCATCTGCTTGAGCGTCGCTTTGTGCCTCTCGTGGGCCAGCGTCTCGTTTTAGAAGGTCGACCTGAAATTCGGCGTCCAGGCGGGCTGAGATTTCCTGCGAACAGCAGCGGAGCGGGCTAGGAGTCAGGTGATGCAAGCACGCTTCCCGCCAAGTCACGCGGAGTTCATCTTGTGCTTACAGCTGGCTGGGTCGGGATCGGCGACCGGCGCTTGGCGATCGTCTCGGTGTCAATCTTCTCGATGTCCTTCGCCCACGCCTGAAAGTCGCGATCCCGACAAAGCCTCGAAGCCTGGACCCGAGGGTGCCACGAAGTGTGGACGAGTTTCATCGCGAGGTCCTCGGCCGCAATGCGGCGTGCATCCAGCATGGTCTGGATGAAGTGCACCGCGGCCGTGTTCGCCCTAGGCCCTTGTACGAGCTCTTCCGCTTGCATGAAATAGAGGAATGTCGGTGTGAACCAGTGAAGAGAGACGACAAGATGCATGAGGACGGCGTCGCTACACTCACCGCCCCCAACTGTTCCTCGACGCCAGGAAATATGTGCGCGGCGATGGTTTTTTCGAGGTCTGCGCTGGGAGGTAGCCTGTTGCGGCCCAGGAAGTAGTCGCTTCGGGCTCCGGAGTAGCCGGCCTTCCTCATCACCACCCTGACTGGAATTGAAGTGATGTAACTCCTCGTCATCTTGTCAATAGCCCAGTGACCCAATTCGGCTATCTCGGCGCGCGGCGTGCCTTGGTCAGCCAACTCTTCTGCCCTGCCGGCGCGAGCGACGTGCACGTTGCGCTTGATGAAAACCTTGTTGGCCGTCCACAGCTGCCGAGTGATTCGTTGCTGGCTCGACGACAGCAGCAAACCCTGATCCTTGTCGTAGCGGGCAAAGAAGAGATGCTTGTCGTACCAGAGCTCCGGTCGGCGTACGTCCAGCGGCGGAATTATGGGGACGCCGAAGATCTGGGGGACCTGGTCGTAGATGAAGTGCAGCCAGAGGATTGTATCGCCCACAGCACACAGTTCCACCTCTAAGTCCCTCGCCGCGTAGCTGTGATGAAGACGGGCGTCCTTGCACGTCTTCGAGTTGCGCTGCGCGATGACCATGACCATTGGCCGGTTGTCAGGGTTCACCGACGACCCGCTAGCAAGGCGGTACAGAAAGATGTCGGCGAGCGTGATCTCGCGTACGCTGGCACCGCGGAGCAGAGTGTGGTGCGATAGCAGGGTCATCATTCTCATAAGCATGAACTTCCACAGAGTCTGGGAAGGACCTGTTCCCCCCGGATTCCACGCCGTCGCCGACCAGTGCGGCAACACCTTGAACATGATTTTGCGGAACTGCTCGGTGATGTAAGTGTCGCCGATGGTTCCGCGATGCCGGTCGACATATTTTCTGCACAAGAGGAGAGTGCGAGGGTGATGATTGAGTGCGAGCGGCGTCGGTGAGCATTGGCGGGAATACTAGAGAGGACTGGCAAAGTCGGCGATGTTAAAATATCTTACTTGGTGTCGGCTTTGTTCTTTCCGCGAACCATGACGCGCACTTCCGTGCGGACGACCGAGATGTCCTGCATGATGTGCTGCTCCTTCTCCTTGTACAGGGTCGCCTCTACCTTGGCCGCCATCTGAAGGGCCTTGATGCGACCGAGTAGCATGTTGACCGTGCAAGGCTTGATCGGCTGCGTGCGCATGGCGGTGTTGCCCTCTTCACTCCTCATTGCCTCGATGAGGGTCTCTCGCGCTCTGAACAAGACGTAAGCGCGAATTCGAGGCTCGTTGGTCCTCGGGCCGTGCAACCAGATGAACTGGCGCGGGGCGGTGTGCCAACGTTCGCCCAAATAATCGCCGATGTTCTTGCCAATTTCGTCCTTGTCTGTGAGTATGGACCCCGGCTCCAGGTCGTCACCTTATGACGGATGAGCATCCACCGCCCACCGCTTGTAGTCTAGTATCCACGATATGTACTGCCGCAGCGACGACCCTTCCTCGAGCGTCTCCGTGTGGCGAAGGGCATTGGCTATCAGCACTTCAATGTCGCTGTTCTTCAGATCCTCGACCACAAACTCAGCCGCAGTAAACTCTCCTCGCGGGACGCTCGCGTACAGCCTATCCTCGAGTTCGTCCTCGGCCAACGCCTCCTCTATCTCTCTTCGATCCCTCTCGGCTCGATTGAGCGGCCGACGTTGGCGTCTAGGTCCCGGGCCGGGCTGGGGTTCCTCCTCCTCATCGCTAGACGAAGAGTCCTCCTCCAGCTGGCTAGGACGTCGCTTTTGGGGGTCGCCTATAGGTGGCGGCGGAATGTCAGGGTCGACGGGAATTTTAGCCAACGCATCTAGATAGTAAATCAGACGCCGCGTCACTGCCGGAATGGTGGTGGGGCGGACGCCGGCCGGCGTTGTGGCGTCACCGGTCAGGTTCACCCGCGCCTGGGCTGCCAGCGGAACGTAGTCCGACATGTTGGCCTCGGCCGTATGTCCTAACAGCGCTTGTTGTCTACTGAGGGCCAGCCGGCGAGTTGGTCGGCGGGTCGGGCATAAAATGGCGGTATTGGGCAACGGCGGCGGCGTACTGTTGCTGCGTTGTGTTCGCTTCTAGTGACCTAGTGACCCTAGTGTCTGTCTCTAAGCGGGCGGCGAGAGAAGCTTGCGCCAACTGCGCGGCGATGTCCCCCTCAGGTGGGTTTGTTTCCGGCGGCGTTGCACCAGGCCGGTCGCCGACCACGCACAGCGCAACCCTAAACCAATCTCGGCCTTTCTCCACGGATCTGGGCGATTGTGCCTCCCGTTTAAAACGGGCGACGAAACTGTGAAATCGGCTGCTACGACCAACGAAACCCAATGCCCCGATAATCGGTCTCACCTGTTGGTCGGCGTCAGACGCCGGAGCCGCGGTGTTCTCCGCAGAGCGTGTCCTGGTGGAAAAAAACTAAGTGTGAGAGCGCAGGCGTAAGAAGTGACGAAAGGAAGTGGGAGTAGGAAAAATGGCTAGTGGCAGCTTGGCTCCGGAGAGGTCATGGACGTGCGTGGCTCGGCACATGCCACCGTGCAGGCAAGGTTCTGTACACTTGGCATTCATGCCGCTGTCCACGCGAGGCGGCGCATTCTCCGACGTGCCACGGCTCTCGCATGGCCACTACAACGCCGCCGTGACTGTCCATGAAGGTGTTTCGTAAGGCATGCCACGACAGCAATACAAGGCGCGCCGAGGCTTGTGGCATTGGTCCAGAGTCTATTCATGGCGCACTCGTGCCACCAGTGATTGGCATCACGAGATACTTTGACGCCGACTTTGCGGACACCGCAGGTTCATCACAAGATACTTTGACGCCGACTTTGCGGACACCGCGGGTTCTGTTTTCCCGCGCAAAAATTAGTCCTCCGATGTTCGACACTTGGACCCGGCATCGCCGTTCGATGTACGCCGCGTGTCCGGTGCCGACATTTATCCTGCCCCCACGTCTGATTCCTGTGCACGTGCCAGGCCGCCGATGCTCGACACCTGTACCCTGCCTCGCCGGTCGATGCTCGCCGACATTTCGGTGCCCACCTGTTCCTCTTCAGCGCTCAATTTGACCGCCGATTTCTTCCACGTAGACTTACCCCGTGACGCCGATTGACGCCGCGTGTCACGCACCGACATTCTCACGGCCCGCGCGTTCTTTTCCGCACGACGCTTGAGGCGTGGTCGGGTGACGCGTGGACGCCAGTGTGGACGCCGACATTCGAGGGAGGTCGGACATAATCCAGGTCGTCCGTAACCCGCCGCGTGTCGTGCATCCGCGGTCGACGTGTCCTGCTGGCAACTCGCCACGCGTTGAGATATACTATGAGGGTATTTCTCAGCCCACGGGAATGTCGACGGTCGTTCGGCGTTCCCTAGGGCTCCGTGCCCCAGTCTGCCATACAATTTCCGACGGTCGGACAGCGAGCTGAAATGGAACCCTGTCGGTTCTGTGCGGCGAAAACGGGCGGGGGAATTCGTCGGCTGAGCTATATCATGCTATTGACTCCCACACAAGTCCCGAGTCCTGACCCCACTAACCTAGAAACGAAAGCACGAGCTTTAGTTTCCAGGGATTATTAAACAGCTTTTCCAGTTTTTTTTTGCTAGGTTTCTACTGCGTCTTTGAAGGTTAGCGACGTAGAAACAGGCAGGTTTCTTGTGCTAACGGTAACGGTCGCGGCTTGGATTGTGTCGGGACGGAAAGTAACGAGCGCTGCGGAGGGAGGAAGGGTCTGGACTCATGAGCTCTGCAGCTGCTGGATGGCTGGACGTTACAGGTATACGATGCTTCAGGTCAACGATTAGGGATAATGATATGTTAAAAAATGCGTCACAAGGTCTGGACTCATGAGCTCTACAGCTGCTATATTGCTGGACATTAGAGGTAATATATTTCGAAAAAACGGTTGGAGATGGTAGCACGCTACAGATGATTGGTCACAGGTATCGAAGCGTATCTGATTTTACGCAACTACATCAATGTTGTTTGTCGCCATCCGATCATGCCGCTAAAACATATTCGGAATAGGGAGTGGTTAAAAGATTTACTTTAAAGTGCACATTGACGGCATCGCAGGTAAGAGAAATTTGGACGAGGAAGCGCGCTGCTATATAAGAATGTGTTGTCGAAAACGAAGCTCATCTCGTCCCACACACAGTAGGAGCGTTTTCGTTAGATTCTTTAAAAAGCGTTCACCAACTAGGACGAGTTAGTGCGCTGGGAGATGAAGAATGATAGTCGAGGCTCATCTGTTCCTTTTAATTGAACGCGAAGCCTGCTTTTGAGGCGCGTCATCGTTATGCTCCTCAAGAATCGGCATACTTTGTCAAATTTGAATTATTCGTTGAAAATGTATGAAGGAGCGGGTTGATGCGGATTTTTTTCCTGGTTGCATAATAACTCGTTTCGTTTATTCAATCGATTCACAGTCATATAAAGCGGGACAGTAATGAATGCCGTGAACGTGAGAAATTAGAGAAGGGGGAGTGGGGGAAGGGGTCGGGGAAGGAGGGAGGGAGGAGCGGAGGAGGGGATGGGGAGGAGAGCGTTGCTAAAATAAAGAGGAAAGGAAAAATCCGGAGGCATATGAGGTGACAAGCTCGTTTCGAGTCTACATCACATGATCAAATGAGATTGTTGTGAGGCACTGAATTTGACTGCATTTCATAACTAACCCCTTCCCGCCTTGTCTCAGCTTGCCCCGTTTTAGACGGAAACCGTCCATCCCTTTCCTGTCTCCGAGCCCCTTCCTTCCTTTTAAATAAACCCCTCTTGCATCTCACCCCATTCCCCTTGGTTCATTGTCAGCTGTCGGATGCAAGGATCTGACGGACACGGAGCTTTACGGCTGGCAGGACCCTTACGTGGTGCTGCAGTACGGCTCACAATGCAAGCGCACAGCCACTCACAAAGGTGAGTTGTGTTTAGAGAGGGTAACATTAGGTCGGGAGCCGTACCAAAGTGGATAGGAGTCAGGACACAGAGCTTTACAGCTGGCTGGCAGGACCCTTATTTGGTGCTGCAGTACGGCTCACAATGCAAGCGCAGCGCACGACCACTCACAAAGGTGGGTTGGGTTTAGAGAGGCAAAACAGCAGGTCGGGAGCCGTAGCAAAGTGGATAGCAGGCAGGACACGTAGCTCTGCCGCTGGCTGGCAGAACCCTTATGTGGTGCTGCACTCTGGCTCGCAAAACAAGTGTGCGGCCACTCACAAAGGTACGACTGACCAACTACACTACTGATTTAGGTTGCACCATTTGTAACTGGCCCAGTGGAATGAGACAGTGCGGATGAGGTACCAGCCCAACTTGTCTGTTTTGGCCTGTCTCGCCATGCACTCGCACATGCACATGCTGCTTCCCGCCCCTGCCTCTCCTTGCACCTTCAGGCGGCCACACAGCCACCCAGTGGAACAAGACAGTGTGCATCAACTACCAGCCCAGCAATAGGTTTGACCTGACTGAACACTCAGTCACATGCTGCTTCCCATGCCCTTCTCTGCCTTTCCTTGCACCTCTCAGACGGCCACACGACCCCCAGGTGGAACGAGACCGTCCGCATCAACTACCAGCCCAACGTGTTTGACCTGACGGTGGGCGTGTGGAACGAGAACACCTTCAGCCAAGACAGCCCCATTGGCGGCTGCAAGTGAGTGCTTGCTGCTGGATGTGAGTAGGTGCAAGGCTATCGGAGCTTGTGTGTGAGATTCCCTGTCCGCATGAACTACCAGCCCAACATGTTTGACCTGACTGTGGGCGTGTGGAACGAAACACCTTCAGCCAAGACAGCCCCATTGGCGGCTGCGAGTATGGAGACGGGCAATGCTAGCGAATGGTTATTGTGCGTGAGATCGCCTCTGCATATCAACTACCAGAACAATGTGTTCCATTGACCTCACTGTGGGCGTGTGGAACGAAAACACCCTCACGCAAGACAGCCCCATTGGCGGCTGCAAGTGAGTGCTTGCTGCTGCTGCCAGTGGGTACAATACAAAGAGGTGCAAGTCTATCGGTGCTTGTGTTTAAGCTCGCCTTGCGTGTCAGTCAGCCATCAGCCCACCAGACCAGAGTATGGTGTGTGGTTTAAGTTCGCCTTGCGTGTCAGTCAGCCGTCAGCCCACCAGACCAGAGTATGGTGTGTGGTTTGAGTTCGCCTTGGGCTGGGCGTGTGGAACGAGAGTACCCTCACTCAGGACCAGCCTTTTGGCGAGATGACAAATGTAGGTTAGTCTGTGTAGAGATGACAAATGAGTTTGCTGTTGCGTGTGGGTCTGTCCAGACTTGTCCTCCATCCCTCCTCTCCTCAACTCCTCCTTGCTCCTCCGTTTCTCCACTTGTCTCTGCAGGGTGAGTATCACCCCCGCGCTGGATGCAGGGGTGTTTGACACGTGGCATCCTCTTTACACATCAAAGCAAGTGTGAGTGATGTGATAGTGCTGTTTAGCTTCCTATAATGCACCCCCCATGACCGCAGTCCAGTTTTGAATCAAGTGCTAATGTCTCTCTGGTCTGGACCAACACCCTGTATGTTCATTTCTTCCAAGCATACCCTAAACTTGAGACCCGAAACCCTGCACCCTGAACCCTGCGTGCTGTGAGGGGGTGTCCAGCTAGTACGCGCACAGCTCTTTTGTTGTGGCTCGAAATGGTTCCACATGGTGGAAAGCGGTTTCTGAGCTTCACCGCTTTGCACCGCACCGCAATGAACTACACCACAAAGAACATCCAAGAGGCCTGCTGGGCACCCCCTAAGTGCATGTCTCATTCATGTGCTTTAAGTGCACGCCTTTTCCGTCAATCAATTCTCTACTGCTCCAACGAATCTCCATCTGTCTGTGCTCCGCCCTTCCTCACTCTTCTCTTGCAGGAAGAAGGGCAGCATTCGCGTGAGAATCAAATACCATCCGGTATGCACCCATTCATAGACAAATCGTGACTTACCCCCATCTCTTACCTCATGTCTTGCCATCATATCATGCCCTAAGGCTGGGTCCTGAGTCGGTCTCAAATTCATTTTTTGAGACGATTCAAACCATGCCTCATACCTGCAGTCGCCTCATTTCCCAATGCACACCTTTGAATTTTGTTGCACACTAATTCTTTATCTTTGCCACTCTGTTTCCCCCCCTCCAGAATCCCCAGTACAAGCAGCTGGGAGCCACTCCCTTGCCTGAACTAGTTGCTGCACCAGCAGCAGCAGCACCACCAGAAGCAGCAGCAGCAGCAGCAGCAGCAGCAGCAGCAGAGTGTAACGCAGTTGTCACCAGTAGCAGCAACGCAGCTTCAGGGTCCCTCCCTCGCTCTGCTCTCTCCGTGGCCCTTCACAGCATCAATGCTGCACACGGCAACGCTGCAACAGATGCTTCTAGTAGTGACCAAGGCAGTGGTCGTAATACAGGCACCAGCAGCAGCAACGCAGCTTCAGAGTCTCTCCCCCGCTCTGCTCTCTCCATGGCCCTTCACAGTATCAACGCTGCACACGGCACCGCTGCAGCAGATGCTACTTGTAGTGACGACAAAGGCAGTGGTCGTGACAAAGGCACAGAGCAGAGCAACGAGCACGCGTCCTCTTCTTCCTCCTCCTCTGGCCGCCCCACCTCCCTCCCGCGCTCTAACCTCTCCATGCAGCTGGATGCGATTGAACGTATGCTGGCTGTAGCACAGATCGAACCAGACCCCGCTACAGATGAGTCTGTTGGTGCTGCTGCTGGCGTTGCTGCTGGTATTGCAGTGGTAGGAATGGGGATGGAGGGGGCAGGAGGAGGGAAGGCGAAGGACGAAGTGCCTGGGTGGCAGATCGGGCGGGCGACTTGGGAGCAAGAATCGGGAGAGGACGAGGGTGCGTTGCCTGTAGCTATTGGAGGTGCTGTGGGTGCCCCTCTTAACACCATGGATGAAGAGGCCTTAGCTGCTGCCAGGCTGTCTCAGCGCATTGACGCGATTTATCGCATGCTTGCTGAGAATTGTGAGGAGGGAGATTCGGGTGTGGTCAATTCAGGTGAATCTGAAAAAGCACCTGAGAACACCAGTGGAGCACCTGGTGGCAGTAGCAGAGAAACACCTGGTTCAGGTGAATTCGAGAAAGCAGCTGAGGGCCTCGGAATGACAACTGGTGATACTGGTAGTGCATCTGGTAAAACTCCTGGTGACAACAGAACAGCACCTGATGGCATCAGAGCCGAACCTGTGGGTGCTGGCCCAGGTGGTGCTGATTCTGCTGCTGCTGCTGCTGCCACGGCTCTGAATTCTTCTCCCAAACCCATGACTCATAACACGATCAGCACCACTCCTCCTGCTGCCACCACCAGCATCACCAAGGCTACCACCAGCGGCAAAACGAGCACTACCAGCAGCGCCACCACCAGCGGCAGCAAGGCGATCGGACGGTCCAGATTGCGCACCACGGTCTCACAGAAGCAGCTAATTACCATTCACCAGATCCTGGCAGAAGCCGGGAGACTGCCGTCCAGTCACAGCATTCACAGCCGGGCGGCAGAGGCAGCTAAAGGACAAACCACCGCAGCTGCAGCTGTGTTTGATAACAAGGGAGTTGGTGGCGCTGGTGGTGTGACAGGGCGGCAAGGGGGGGGGCAGCAGGTCTGGGCCGATGCGATTGCGGAAGGGGAGGAAGGGGAGGAGGAAGGGTTGTCGGGGAGGGCAGAAGGGAGTGGGAGTTCAGAAAGAGGATTGGGAGGATCGGGAGGAGGTACAGACGGAGGTTTGGTCACAGGTTCGGTCGGAGGTTCGGGAGGAGCTTTGGTTAGCGCGCCCAGGGTGGCTTCGGGTGGGCATTCAGGGGGGTTGACAGGGGCTATGTCAAGCATGCAGGAGGCGGTAACAGGGGCAATGGCAGGTGTCATGTCAGGTGATTTTTCAGGTGGTGGCTCTGTGCTGACTGGAATGATGAGCATCGTGACAGGCACTGTTTCCGGAGCTATGGACAAGGTTCGGTCAGGCGAGGCTGAAGACTTGGTTCGGAATGCGATAGAAGCAGCCAAGGCCCCCTTGGTGAAAGGAGGGGTGGGAATGATGGGGGCGCTGGGGGGTAATAACACTGCACAAGTAGCAACGCAACCCAATCCGCAACTACAGGCCGTGCCTAAGCACGCTCATGCCCCATATCCTACTGCTCCTCCTGCTGCTGCTCTTCCGCCTCCTCCTCATCCTCTTCATACAGCAACCAGCCAATCCTGTTCCACGGGTCCTATCCGTTCGTCCCATTTTTCTTCCTACTCTTCCTCCTCTTCCTCCACCGTCTCCTCCTCGGTCTCATACCCTTCTCCCTCCTGGTCCTCCCACCATCCCACCCCTTCCTACCCTCACCCCTCTGTCTCCTACCCTTCTCCCTCCTCCTCTTCCCTACCTTCCAAGAGCTCTTCCGACCCCCATCACCCCAGTGGTGGTTACTATCCCTCCATCTCCTCCTCCCCTTCTCCCTCCTCTGCCACCATCCCCTCCTCTCTCACTAACGAATCTGCACACGCAGAAGTGGGGCATCGGTCTTTCGAATCCACACACCCAAATAAGGACGAACGAGGTTCTCACCGCTCGAATCACTCGTCGTTCTCCTCAAGCTATCCTCCATCTGAATCATCCCAATCGGTCGATTCAGACATTTCAGACCACTCTGCCACCTACCCTTCTATCACACACCCTCATAAACACTCCTACCCTCACGCCCCTCCACCCACCCACGCCGCCCCAAAAACGTCATCATCCCACCCATATCCTGCCAACCCTGCGACAGCCAACCCTTATCCCAACCCTCCTGCCCCAAATCAGTATCCCTATCCGTACCCTCCCCCTCCCACTCAATGCAATCCCTCTCAATACAGCCCCTCTCAGTACGGTTACCCTCCCCAAGCACCCCCTGGTGCTTATCCGAACCATCCCCCTCCTCCTAACGCTCCCTATTATCCCTATGCTGCACCTCCTTATCAGCAGGGTGCGCCACAGTACCCCGCTCCCTGGGGTTATCCTACCCCACCTGCCCCTGGTGGTTACTGTGATGCCAGCAGCGATCGCGCTCGTGGTGGTAACCGCTCCGCGTCACCCGTTTCATTTGAACGACATAAGAGTGGTAAGACCATGTTATCATGTCGCTCTGGTTTTCTTTCCCTATCAATGCCTCCTCAACCACAGAAATCTCTCTTGTGTTCATTCTCTCTTCCCTTTTCTCCGCCCTCTTTCACTTATGGCGTTGCAGGTGGAAGCAGTAGCTCTCACGGTAAGGGAGAGCACAGATACAAGGACAACCGGTCTCACTCGCATAAAGATCGGAAAAAGAAGGATTTCTGCGACTGCAAACACTGTAAAAAATGCTACCACAAAGAGCACAAAAAGAAAGGCAAAGACCACTATGATAATAAGTGGAAGTAGGTTAGGTTCAGGCACAAGCTACAAATATGACTGCATTGTTAGTGCTTGCTTTCGAAGATACCATGTTTCTGAACTTACTATGTTCTCGTTGGTAACGCGTACCGTATTTCTGTTCGACTTTCTCGATATTTGTTCGTCAGGCAACCTGATTGGTTCGAATGTGCCAGGAGGAGCTTCACCATCAGGACCTGATTGGTTTATGGCAAATCACTGTAGCTGGGAAAAGGGTGCCGATAATGGGGGCACATAGATTTCTGTGGAACTGGGTTGATCAGAATGATGAACATGATGCTGAAAGGTGTAGCCAGATTGTGCCGCGTTGGTGTGAGGTAATTAAAATCAATGCGCTATGTTTTCAAGTGTTGTCGGCGGCCGATAATCCCGCGTGGGACCAGATTCAAGAGAATGTAGCTAGAGTCGCCGCGATGTGGTAATCTTATGATCGTAGCCGTCCATTGTGTAGCTTCCAAGTTACCTCTCCCGGACTTCAGCGATTTCTTGAAGCCCTTGAAGTTCTTCTCGCCTCAGTCTCACTCGTGTCACATTCGTTTGGCTTTAACCCCATTTAGGGTGGTCTGACGGGACGGCTTAAGGCGTGGTCAGGTCCTACCTTTCCAGTTCAGTCTCCGTGTTTCAGAACGGTTCCACACGGTGGAAAGTGGATTTCGAGGTGTACCGTTTTGCTCCGTGACGCAACGAGCTGGACCGCAGAGAAGAGAACGCACAGGAGACGTACGACCTGACCTCGCCCGTTGGTCCGTGCCACGGTAGTAGCTATTGTGACGACGTTCTGCCGAAGACGGTAGTAGCACCCTGAAAGTGGTATTCGAGGTGCACCGCACAGGAGACGTACGACCTGACCTCGCCCGTAGGCCCGTGGTAGTACTAGCTATTGTGACGACGTTCTGAGACGTCTCAAATATTCACTCTTATCACCTAGACGACGTTCTGCCGAAGACGGAAGTAGCACCCTGAAACAGGCAACAAGGCAGGAGGAGCTGCGACGTTTGCCGCGGCGACGCTTCTGTCAGTCATGGCGTCTGGCTGGTTAGACGTGACGGGTAAGAAGCTAGTAGAGGCAATGGAAATGTCATGGCTGCCGATAAGACGTGAATGGTAAGTGTGGCTGGACGATTTTGAACAGAAACAGATCAAATGTGAGGTTGAAAGGTATACCGTGTAAGGAGGGGACAATGTCAGCGGGTCGGGGTAGTTAAACGTCACTTTCGTAGCTTTGAAGCTCATTTAGGACCAGGAAAGTGGGGTCATGGTTAAAAGAAACACCTAAAAGGAAAAGGAATCTAGAAGGAAAAGGAATCGTTGCCTCGAATTCTAATGACGCCACGTCGCGCGGTACCTCTTAAGAGACGTCTCAATGCTCTGACGTGGGGGAATGTCCTACTGACGCCATGTGACGCAGTAATTTGGGAAGGTGTGGTTGGGTGACGTTTAATGTCACACGCACCACGGATTAGAAAGAAGCACAAACTCGCTGGTCGTTGACCATTACTCATTGCTCGTTAGTTGTTGATCCCTATTCATTCATTGTCTGTTAGTCGTTGCTCGATATCCGGTGCAAGCTGCCTTGTTATTCTTGCACTTGCCTTCTAACCTTTTGTTTGTTTTCAAAGTTTCCTCCCTCCTCCCCTCCCCCGATTTGCCACGTGGCACCACACCAGTGGTGGGCTGCAAGGATCTATATGACGTGGAGCTGTACGGCAAGCAGGACCCTTACGTGGTGTTACAGTATGGTAACCAGCAGCACCGCACCAAGGTCCACCACGGTAGGCTGTTTGAAGGGATGCTTCATGCATGAGACGTGGAAAGCTGTATGCACGGCAAGCAAGCAGGGCCGCTGCTTGGTGTTACAGTATGGTAACCAGCAGCACCGCATCAAGGTCCATCAAGGTATTCAACTCTTCACTCCATACGCTGAGTCAGCACATGGACGTGTGCTGAGTCAGCTTTCTGATACGTGACGAGTCATCGTTTTAATGTGTATGTGGTGAATGCTTGCAGCACTATAAGCATGTGATCTGCTTACTCATCTGCTGGCTCATCTGCTGGTTCTGCTGCTGACTCTGCTGCTGATTCTGCTGCTGACTCTGCTACTGACTCTGCTGCTGACTCTGCTGCTGGCTCTGCTGCTAAGTCTGCCGCAGTTCCTTTCCTCTTTCTCTGCTTTCCCTGCGCTCGCTCGCAAACCCGGCCACACCACATCACCACATCACCGCAAGTAGCCTTAGCCACAGAGGTTCAACAGATGGCCAGACCACCCTCGTGTGGCAGGAGCCGAGTCAGCTGCATGCAGGTGGGGGCTGAGATGCAAGCCAACAGTCTTTTTGAGGCGCCTCAAAACCGTCACTGCGGTTCCTCTCCTCTTTCTCCATCTCCCCTACCCTCCTTCCTCCATCTCCCCTTCCCCCGCTACTCCAGACGACCACACCACCCTTGTGTGGAACGAGACGTTTCAACTGCAACTGCAGGCAGAGATGCAGGCAGACAGTCACTGTTTCCCCCACTTCCGTTCCTCTTTCTCCATCTCCCCCTCTCTCGTTCGTCCCTACAGACGGCCACATCACCCCTGTGTGGAACGAGACGTTTCAGCTGCAACTGCAGGCAGAGATGCAAGCAGGCAGTCACTATTCTTCCCATTTTCTCTCTTCCTTCTCCATCTCCCCTTCCCTCGTTCCTACAGACGGCCACATCACCCCTGTGTGGAACGAGACATTTCAGCTGCAGTTGAGGGGCCAGGTTAGCCCTTTGGAATGCCACGTGTGGGACAAGAACAAGCTAAAGGACAGCTTGATCGGCCACTGCTCGTACGTCCCTCCTCTCGCCCTGCCTGCTGTGATTGGTTGGCCGGTACGCATTATTCCATCCATCTATCATTCATCAGAGGTAGTTTCAGCTGCTGCTGAGGGCCGGATCTGTTTACTTCAAAATCCTTCTAAAAAAAAAAGGCTGAGGGCCGGTGTCAGCCCTTAGGAATGTCATGTATGGGTGGGAAGAACAGGCGCAAGGACATGTTGATTGGCCTCTGCTCATACGTCCCCCTTGCCTGCACCAATTGGTTGGCCGGTTGGTGTTCCAATGTAGACATGAGCAGTCAGGTCAGGCTCATATATACGTACAAACCCAAACCGAACTGAACTGAACCGAACCGAACCAGGTCAACCTGTAGTCTGGTTGGTGTTCCTACGTAGACATGAGCAATGGGTCAGACTCATCTCTGCATATCAACTCGAGCCGGGTTCGGGTCGGGTCGGGTCGGGTCGGGTCAGGTCGGGTCGGGTCGGGTCGGGTCAGGTCGGGTCGGGTCGGGTCGGGTCGGGTCGGGTCGGGTCAGGTTGGGTCGGGTCGGGTCAGGTCGGGTCATCCCGTAGTTAGGTCAGGACCCCGGGCCTGCCACCCTGACCCAGGCTTATAAGGTCCGGTCAGCTGTGACCCGAGGCTGGGTCGGGTCGGGTCAGTTTGGGTCGGGTCAGTTTGGGTCGGGACCCCGGGCCTGTCAACCTGACCCGGGCCTATAAGGTTGGGTCGGCTGTGACCGGAGGCCCCGTCGAGTCGGGTGGGGCGGGGTTGGGTTGGTCCGGACGTGTGCTTATAAGGGTCGGGTTGACTTTTGAGTGGACTCAGCCCATCGAGTCGGGTGCGGTGGAGTTGGGCTGGGTCGCATCTGGGCTTATAAGGGTTGGGTTGACTTTTGAGTCGACTCAAAATTCAGTACGTCGAGTGGGGTGCGGCGGGGTTGGGTCGGTCCGTACCTGGGCTAAGGGCCAGGTCGGCTGTGACCCGAGGAGGGCGTATCGAGTCAGCCCGACCCGCCTCTGACCAATCAGACCTGAAAACGGGTCGGATCGACCTGATCGGACAGGTTGACTCAACTCGAGATGATATGGTTCAAATGGGTCTTGAGTTGACACAACCTGAACCCGAAACCCTAAATCCTACACCTTAAACCCTGCATTGACAGCAAAATAATTTTTGCCTCAATTACACTGCTTCTCTTTAATCCCTTCCTGTGGCCCCCTTTTACTCCCTTCCTTCCACTCGCTGTGCAATCTCTTGAGGCGCCTCAAAAGTCGCCTAAAAAAACACTGCTTCCCTTTAATCCCTCCCTGGGCCCCCTTTTTACTCCCTTCCTTCCACTCTCTGCTCATTCTCTCTGCTCATCCTTTTTCAGAGTGGACATTCAGCCAGCACTGACAGCAGAAGTGTGGGACAAGTGGCATCCTCTGATCACCAAGAGACAAACGTATGTCGTTGCTTTGCTTTGGCCTGCATCCGCTTTTTGAGGTTCCTAAAAAGCGGACTCAATTTCGAGTCAACAAAAAAACATCATGGCACCCACATCCACCTCCCAACTTTTGAGGCGCCTCAAAAGTCACCAAAAAAACATCGTGGCACCCATATCCCACTTCCCAACTCGCACCCGGTTTGAGGCGCCTCGATTGGTAAGAATTGCCGTTGCAACAGGTAACAGAAATGGATAGCGCTCCTTTGCTCTGGCCTGTATTCACTTGATGAATTCTCTGATTATTACTCAGTTTGAAGGTGCCTACCAACTTGTTGCACCCACTCTTTACTACGAAGCAGAAGTATGTCGTTCCAAGTTTCAAGAAAGTAACTTGAAACGGACAAGATCGACCGGGCTTTTTTCTCAGAATATAAGTAAAATCTTATGTTTCGAAATGGACCGGCCGGCAGGGGTGAAGTCCCGGCCGGCTCGTCCCGTGGCAAACAGGTTAGATTTATCACTAGCCTAGCAAGGTCCGGATTGGGGATCATGTCTATCTCGCACCGTTGGTTTTCAAGTTGACTCAGAAGTCACCCGTCTTTTTTCCTAATGCTGCTCCAGGTATACTTCTGACTGTTGAGTCGACTTTTGAAATGTCTCAAAAGTCCTAATGCTGCTCCGGTTGTTCTTCTGACTGTTGTTGAGTCCACTTAAAAGTCGCCTCACCTGGAAGGCAACCTCTTCAACATCATGTCACTCTACTCTCTACTCTGTCTTCCTTTCCTGGTGCTGCTTCTGGCATTCTTTTGCAGGAAAAAGGGCCGCCTTCATCTCGTTATGAAGTATATTCCTGTAAGCATCTTCCTGCTATGCTAACTGCCAGTGCGCGCGTGCGCTTGATATCATAGGGAAGCTTTTGTTGTTCGAAATCTTGAAGAGCCAAAGAATATCCGCTCCCTTACCGTGCCTACCTCAGGCTTTTTCAAATGAACTTTTGAGTTCACTCAAACGTCATTCCCGAAGAGCCATTGTAACGGGGTGACTTTTGAGTCGACTCAAAAGTCACCTATGAACATTCCTTCCTTTTTCATGCTTACTTCAGGCTTTTTCTATATGAAAATGCTTTCATCTGATAGTGTATTCTGTCTGTAACAGCATACGCTTTCAAAATGGTGTAACTCAACTTCCTGTGTCTTCCTGCCTTACTGCTCCAGGCCCAGTCAAGCACGCCCTCTCCTGTTTTTTCCTCCCTTTCCTTCCTTTCCTGTTAGAGACTCAGATACGCGTGAACTCAAATGCGTACTGCTTCTTGTTTTGAGTCGACTCAAAACACGACTCAGATAGTGTGAACTCAAATGCACACTGTTTCTTCCTGCCTTCTTGTTCTCCAGGCCCAGTCAAGCCCATCCGCACCTGCTCCGGCCATGCTTTCACCAAGTGCAGCAGTAAAGCGACTTTTGAACCGACTCAAAACTCACCTCAAATACCCTCTGTTTCTTCCTGCCTTCTTGCTCTCCAGGCCCAGTCAAGCACGCCCTCGCCTACTCCAGCAAGGTGGCTTCTAATTCGACTCAAAACTAACCTCGAATTCGCTCTGTTTCTTCCTGCCTTCTTGCTCTCCGGGCCCAGTCAAGCACGCCCTCGCCTGCTCCAGCCATGCCTTCCCCAAGTGCAGCAGCAAGGTGTCTTCTAATTCGACTCAAACCTCACCTCGTATTCGCTCTGCTTTTCCCGGCCTTATTGTTCTCCAGGCCCAGTCAGGCACGGGCTCGCCTGCTCCAGCCATGCCTTCCCCAAGTGCAGCAGCAGAAGCACAAGCAGCAGCCGCAGCAGCGGCAGTAGCAGCAGCAGCAGGGTTATCAGCAGGCGCATCAGCGGGCGGATCAGCAGGAGCAGGAGCAGCAAGAGTAGCTACTCCCATTCCCAGCCACTACACAGCATCACCACAGCAGCCCTCTCACTCTCCTAACCCTCCTCCTCCCCACACTCTCTACCCTCCTCCTCCCCAACGCCAGGTGCACCCACTTCCTCCTCCTGCTACCCAGCAAGTTTACTCGCCCTCTCCCCCCCTCCCTGCTAACCGACAAGTCTACTCCTCTGCTCCTCCGCCCCCTGCTTACCAGCAAGAATGCCCCCCAGCCTATTCCCCCGCTCCTCTCACTCCTGCTAACCAGAAAGACTACTCCCCCGCTCCCCCTCCCCCTGCTAACCCACAAGTCTACCCCTCTGCTCCTCCGCCCCCTGCTTACCAGCAGAGATACCCCCCAGCCTATACCCCCACTCTCCCCCCTCCTGCTAACCAGCAGGACTACCCCCCCGCTCCTCCTCCTCCTCCTGCTAACCCACAAGTCTATTCCTCTGCTCCCCCGCCCCCTGCTAACCAGCAGGAATATAATCCCACTCCTCCTCCTCCTCCTTCTAACCAACAGCTCTATTCCCCCACTCCTCCTCCTTCTAACCAGCAAGTATATTCCCCTTCTCCTCCCCCTCCCCATTTTAACCAGCAAGCCTGCTCCCCCGCTCCTCCCCCTCCTGGTAACCAGCAAGATTACTCCCCCGCTCCTCCTTCCCCTGCTAACCCACAAGTCTACCCCTCTGCTCCTCCGCCCCCTGCTTACCAGCAGGAATATAATCCCACTGCTCCTCCTCCTCCTTCTAACCAACAGCTCTATTCCCCCACTCCTCCTCCTCCTAATCAGCAAGTATATTCCCCCACTCCTCCTCCTCCTAATCAGCAAGCATATTCCCCTGCTCCTCCTTCTAACCAGGAAGATGACTCCAACGCTCCTCCTCCCCCTGCTAACCCACAAGTCTATTCCCCCGCTCCTCCTCCCCCTGCTAACCAGCAAAGCTACTCCCCCGCTCCCCCTCCCCCTGCCGCCCAGCAAAACTACCCCCCCGCTCCTCCGCCCCCTACCCAGCAAAACTACCCCCCCGCTCCTCCGCCCCCTTCTAACCAGCAAAGCTACCCCCCTGCTCCCCCTCCCCCTGCCACCCAGCAAAACTACCCCCCCGCTCCTCCGCCCCCTGCTAACCAGGAAGAATACTTCCCCGCCGCTCCCCCTCCCCCTGCCACTCAGGGTGGGGCGGCTGTAGCAGCAGTTGGGGCAGCAATGGGTGCTCTGGCTATTGGTGCTGCTGGGAGCGGAGGTAGTGTAGCAGCAGCGCCAGCACCAGTAGCACCAGCACCAGCGCCAGCACCAGCACCAGCACCAGCACCAGCACCAGCACCAGCACCACCAGCACCACCAGCACCAGCATCTACAGCAGCACCAGCACCAGCACCAGCACCAGCACCAACACCACCAGCACCAGCATCTACAGCAGCACCAGCAGCAGCAGCAGCAGCAGCAGCAGCACACTCTCATGCTCAAAACACATATCCCCCTCCTCTCTCTCAGGGCTCCTATCCCCCTCCTCCCCCTTCCTCTCAGGACCCGTATCCTCCTCCCCCCTCTCAAAACCCCTATCCTCCTTCCCCCTACGGCTATCCTCCTCCTCCTTCTCAACCCTCCCCCTACGGATACCCTGGTTACCCCCCACCTTCTCAAGCTCCCCCCTATGGGTACCCCTACGCTCCTCCTCCTCCTGCATCTTACGGCCATCCTCCTCCTCCTCCTCCTGCTTCATATGCCCCTCCTCCTGCCCCGTATGGCTATGGGACCCCGCCTCCTGGATATTATTCTCAGTACAACACGCGGCCTGTGGTGGTGGTGCATCACCATGGGCATGAAGGTATGTGTGATCAGGTGTGGTATTGCACAGTGTGGTATCGCAGAGTGTGGTATCAAACAGTGTGATATCGCACAGTGTGTGTGATAGTGTGTGTTTGCATGCTCTAGTGTGAGTTTGCATGCTCTATTGCGATCGCATGGTATGACCCTTCAAGGGTGTTATTCTCAGTTCAGCACCTGGCCTGTGGTAGTTGTGCATTACCATGGGCATCATGGTATGTGCATGGATCATCATCGTATGTGCATGGAGCATCATGGTATGTGCATGGAGCATCATAGTATGTGCATGGAGCATCATGGTATGTGCATGGAGCATCATGGTATGTGCATGGAGCATCATGGTACGTGCATGGAACATCATGGTACGTGCATGGAACATCATGGTACGTGCATGGAACATCATGGCATGTGTGGTAGTGCGGTATTGCACTGGGGTGGTGGTGGCGCATGTTGATGGGCATAATGGCACGTGAATGGAACATCGTCGTATGTGTGATAGTGTGGTATTGCACTGTGGTGCATGTTGATGGGCATGGTGGTATGTGCATGGAGCATCATGGCACGAGTGGTAGTGGGGTATTGCACCGTGGTGGTGGCTCATGTTGATGGGCATGATGGTACGTGTAAACAGGCGTTGTAGTGCAAGCTTGCATGACTATGAGATGAGTGCATCGAGAATCATCATGGTAGGTGCATGGACATCACGATACGTGAATGGAACATCATGATACGTGCACGGATCATCATGGTACGTGCATGGATCATCACGGTACGTGCATGGATCATCACGGTACGTGCATGGAACATCATGATATTTGCATGGAACATCATGGTATGTGCAAGAGGCATCAACATGGTAACTATATCTCCTGCTCCTACCCACCCTGCATGGCTACAGTTCCGCCCTCAAGGGTGAGCCATAAGCATCAAGGGCGCGTTCATTGATGCCCGCACCTTGATGTCTAATGCCCACCCTCAAGGTTGTTTCTTACTATGGCGTGTATACAGTGATTGTTGTCAAGTTATGGAATTTCCTACCCACCTGCATTATGTTTCTTTTATCCCTTAATATCACCTTTTGCTGTGGTTGTGGAGTGCAGGTTATTATGGAAAAGGCAAGGGCTACAAAGGTTTCAAAGGTGGGTTCTTCTTCAAGTAATGCTTATCATAACATTCCTTGTTATGTGTTTATTTAAGCTTTGGAGCTTGGATTGGTAACTCATCGCTGGTTAATCGCGCCAAATGGTGGGGCAAGGGGAAATGAATTTTTTCGCAAATCCGCTCCGAGTATGCAATGGTGGCCTAGCGGTTTATTGAAGGGTACGTTCTAGTATCCTGACACAAAGATGTCAAGGGTTAAGTTTTTGGTAGATTGTGAAAGTGTACTTAGGGCGTATTCCTACGGCCTCCTATCAAGAAACCTCCTATCAAGATTGTACCTTTTGCCTGGTAAAAGTAGCGAGAGATTTTGGGTTTAGGGAATTTTCCAGTGAGAGCTTGATAGGAGGTTTTCTTGATAGGAGGATAGGAATACGCCCTTAGGCTGACTGGCAAAGGCAGCGTTATCATTTCATATGGGTTGTAGTACATCGTTCTCGTCTTATATATGTCTACATAACAGCATACACAAATGGGTGGGCGGGTGGGAAATTAGAACTACAATTTTGAAAATGAAAACGTGGGTGGGGACGAATGTCCCCACGTCCCTCTTTTGTAGGCAAAAGAGGGTGAGTAGCGCTTCGGCGCTACCTTTGCTGTGTTGGCCACGTACCCCTTTTCACAATACAAAATTTTAGAAAGTGTTACACTTCATTACACTTTCAAAAATTATCATATTTTGACAATAATGATGTGGAATGATTTAAATTGTCCAATAGCCTTGTGTCAGTGAGCATGACACCAGCCAAGAACATACCTCACGAGAATCATAAATGTATGAATATCAGAGTTGTTAATAGAATTCTATCTGGGATTCAGAGGTGGGAAAGGGTGAAGTCTGAAAATTCAGACTCTGCCCTAAAAACAGGTCTGAGTAATGGCCATGGTCAAAAGCCACTATGAAGTACCTTCTGTATACAGTCCACTTGCTCAGTATGTCGTGAATTTGTAGGGAGAATATGCCACAAGTAACCAGCTTGGGACTCGATAACGTGAGTGGTAAGAAAAACGCGTACGGTCACTGTATCGGGTTTTCTGACGGGTTTGGTAAGCGGGGTCACGGATTCAGTCACTAACAACAGGTAAAAATCACGCGAATGGTCACACTTGTAACTCCCGCCAAAACAACTTAAAACTCAACAAAATTCCCGCTCGCGCCCAACCAATCTGCGAACTTGTAAAAAAACTAAAACCCAATCGGAATCGGATGCGGTTTGGGAACGGATCAACCCTAAACACCTGGCGAGTTACGTGTTTAGGTTGACCATCCAAAAATGCATCCAGCTTCTTTTTGGGTTTCATTTTGTTTTGGCGGGAGTTTCATCTGTGACCATTCGCGTTTTTTTTACCAGTTGATTGTGACTGATTCCGTGAGACGCTTTATCAGTCGCGTGAAAACACCCTTTGCAGTGACCGTACCCTTTTTTTTTATCAAAAATGTTTTTGAGTCCCATGATGGTTACAAACGGCATATTCTCCCGAATTTGTATTGGGCCTTGTGTTTTTTGTGGTCTTTTACACAGCGTATCTTATATTCGATTTCTGAGAGGACACTGACAAAGGTCGATATTTCATTCAAGCAAACCTGATTGGCTTGACCGTTCCGTCTCCAGATTTCCTATTGGACAATAGGTTCCTCGTCGTTCTCAAGGGATGTTTTGAACTTGTGTTGGGTGGGAGTCATATTCCTTATTTCAACAAGGGTTCAGTCTGGCCTGCAACGGTCTAAAGAGGTGAAATAAATTAACCGTTCTCGATAGTATTATACACCCTGTTTCTCGACCCTCTCACCTTGCGCGATTCGCTGCTACAGTGCGGTCAGGTGCCATAAACCGTATGGCTGAAACCTGCGGGCAAAGCCGCACCAGCTGACGGAGTGGTACTGGGGGCAAAATTTTTCTTTATCGCTGTATACCCTTTTCAACCGCTTTGAAACGCTTGGTTAATGTTCTTTACCATGCAGCATCCTAGCTAACCGCTTTCTTGTGAATGTGCTTGTACCGTCGGTGATAAGACCATTTCAAACGTGGTGACGTTCTACAACCAGTGCATGTTCTGCAACCAGATGCTCTGCTAGCGCGAAACAGGGTGTAGTATGAGCCCAAACCATTACTGTAGTTCAGTAGCATGAACCACTGCCTGTGTAATTGTTTTTTAGAGGCTTCTTCCAGCAAGCCAGACTGATTAGGGCGACGTCAGGTTGTACAACTTTTTGTACGCCCTCTCCAGTAAATTTTGTTTCAACACGGTGAAGAGCGGTAATCGTCCTGAACCGTTTATCACCGTGTTGGACCGTCCTGAACCGTGATACAGGAACTGTAAGCGCGTGTGAAATGTATAACCTGACGGCGCCCTTAGTGTGGCTGGAATCTCTGAGTGACCAGTTACCATTCATTTGGGCCGCTCATTTGATCCTCACGTTTCTTAGCCACGTTTCTTAGCCATTACCTCGTCCGTAACAAGCAGGAATGCCTTCGTTAGATTCGACGCTGTGCTTTCTTACGTTGCTAATTCTCGATTGTCGCTTGTGTCTCGATTGTTAGAACGCGGCATCACTCTGCGAAAGGGGTAGGGGGAAAAGGCGAAAGCAGCGGCAAAGGTTCAGCCGCGCCGCGGTCATGGCTTCTGGCTGGCTAGACGTCACGGGTGAGAAATTAATCACTCAGTCAGAATATAGAGTTCAGGGATGCAGTCATTGGTACGTGATTATTTGCCAAAAAGGAGCACGGGATGTCGCGAACGTAGCTAACGGAAACGTCGCCTCAGGCTTCGGTGAACGTAGGTCAGACGAAATATCGAATGTCGTTACAGGCAGTGAATGACGGATGTGACGTCAGACGTGAGGGATTATTTAATGTCGTCAGACGTCAGACATCACGGCGCACGGAACTTCCAGGAAGGTAAAGAAGTCGTATGATCCCGAGCGCCGCTGGAGTAGTTTTACAAACGCGTTGACTCGTTGACCGTCGCTCTCTGCTCGTCGCTCTGGAGTGTTTTTGAGAATTCTCAAAAACACTCTGCAGTCGTATGATCCCGAGCGCCGCTGGAATAGTTTTACAAACTCCTTGACTCGTTGACCGTCGCTCTCTGCTCGTCGCTCTGGACTCCAAGTCGTTGGCCTCTATTCGTTACTCGTTGGTCGTTATTTTATCGTTTTGGAGTAAGCGGAAAATCAGTCCCTTTATTGGAAAACACACTCCACACTTTTATGACAAAAAGGAACATACAAGCAAGCTCAGTACTTTACCTATTCCTTTCCTATCTCTCCTCCCCCCTCCCCCCCCGCAATCCCCTCTCCCAACCCCCCCCCCCCCCCCCCCCCCCCCCCCCCTTCTTTTCCTCGCGGTTTGCCATGTGGCACCAGTGGTGGGCTGCAAGGATCTAGATGACGTGGAGTTGTACGGGAAGCAGGACCCTTACGTAGTGTTAAAGCATGGTAACCAGCAGCACCGCACCAAGACACACCAGGGTAAGTTGCTTCAATAGGGGACATGGAGGCGTGCAGCAAGCAAGCAAGCAGTACCCTTACTTGGTGTTACAGTAATAGTATGGTATCCAGCAGCACCGCATGGTGATTCTCCAAGGTAGGCCCAAGGTAGGCTGCTTGCGGCGATGCTTCGTATGTGAGACATGGGGCAGGCAAGCAAGCAAACAGTCGTGTTTTGAGTCGACTCAAAACACAGCAAGCAAGCAAGCAAGCAGTGCCCGTACTTGGTGTTACAGTATTAGCATGGTAACCAACAGCATTGCATGAAGATTCACCAAGGTATGTTGCTTCCAAAAATGCTTCATATATGAGGCATGGCGAAGGGTGAGGCAAACACTCAATCGAGCAAGACCCTTCCCCTCCCTGTTTTTCATCTCCCCTGCCCTTGTTCGTCCCTACAGACGGCCACACCACCCCTGTGTGGAACGAGACGTTTCAGCTGCAGCTGAGGCCAGAGATGCAAGCAGGCAGTCACTGTTATCCTAAGGTCCTCTCTTCTCCTTCTCCATCTCCTCTTCCCTCGTTCGTCCCTACAGACGGCCACACCACCCCTGTGTGGAACGAGACGTTTCAGCTGCAGCTGAAGGCCGGTGTCAGCACCTTGGAATGCCATGTATGGGACAAGAACAAGCGCAGGGATGTTCTGATTGGCAACTGCTCGTACGTACCCGCTGCCTGCACTTATAGTAATTCCTGAGGGTGTTTTCAGCTGCAGCTGAGGGCAGGTGTCAGCGCCTTGGAATGCCATGTATGGGACAAGAACAGGCACAGGCCCGCAGGGACGTTCTGATTGGCCACTGCTCGTACGTACCCCCTCCTGCCCTGCCTTTTGTGATTCGTTGGTCGGTACCTGTATGAGAAATGATCCATCCATCCATCCATCCATCCATCCATCCATCCATCCATCCGTCCGTCCGTCCGTCCGTCCGTCCGTCCGTCCGTCCGTCCGTCCGTCCGTCCGTCCGTCCGTCCATCCATCGCTCCTAGAACCAGCCATTCTTGGTGCGTTTTGGGTCTCGAAACGCCTCGGACCGTCCATAGTGTGTGTTGATTCTTTTCCAACAGCATTTAATGCCTCGGACCATCCATAGTGGGTCTTGAAAATCCTCGGACAGTCCTTGTGTTTTGATTCTTTTCCAACAGCTTTTAACATTTCTGGGTTTGTAAGACCAGAGACGTCTTGAAACGTCCTTAGTTGGCTATCATGTCAAATCGAAAGCATAGTGCTCAACCCTTTGATCATATCGCCCGCATAGGTTTTCTCATATTGAACTGTCAACCAGCACTGCACTGGCAGCAGAAATCTTTGTTCATGTGGCTCCTCAATAACGCATTTTGCATCCCCCCTTTCCTGTTTTCCTTGCATTGACTCCTAACTTTCATTCAGAGTGAACTTCCAGCCAGCACTGACAGCAGAGCAGGAATATTCGCCGTTCGACACTAACGCGTTTAACGTCTACCCTTTTTCTTTTCTTCCTTGCACTGACTCCTACATTTCGATCAGAGTGAAATTT